TCAGTTTGCATGACAGTTCGGTGGTCTGTGAGTTTTCCCTGGGTTTCTTCCAGTGATTGTGCTTTAGAGGATATTGGGTTTGACAGATTTAGTAAACTGTTAGTCAGACACACTAGGTGGTGTGCTTATGGGATGTTTGTCAGAATCCTTGCCTTCAACCCGCAGTGGTGTGGATGCTGTTTTCCAAGAGATGGCTTTCTGTATCCTTGCTCTTTTACAACACTGCTGTTGAATAACTTCACGAAATAGTAAGGATGGAATGCTTTGTTTTTCAGTACTTGGGTTTCTGATCATACCTGATTTTTTTAAGGGTGGGAAAGAGGATATTTTGTGTGATCAGTGCAGTTTGGCTTACTGACCTCTTTTGGACTGATCCATATTTTAAACACTGATTTAAAATTAGAGCTCTCAGTATGCCTGATAAATGAGGGTTGGAAATTGTTAATAGAATAGGAAAGTGTTGTGTTCTTAGATTGTGAGGTCAAGTGGAACTGAGATTAGCCTCAGAGCTGGATTTCCTGTCCGGTGTTGCTGCTTTCCAAACCGCCCTGATTAGTCAGCAATATAGAATGCAAAGTCTTTGGATGCAAAGCTTGCAAAGGATGTGATCCCATGTGGTCTGTGGTATATCTGTTCAAGTAATTTTGGCTTCCAGTGGCTCACCACTTCTCAGAAATCATCACAGCTCTCCTACCACAAGACACAAGAAGGGGATCCCGTGAGCTGTAGCTTGGGGATAATGGGGTCTGCCACCCCAAACTTTCTCCTGTGCTTTGTTCATCCTGATTGGTCATTTGACCACTGATTGTGAAGAAGTGTTACATAGCTACAGCAGAAAAGGACAAAACTAGTCTGAAGTATTGCTCTTTAAACAATAGGTAATTGAAAATTAGAAAAGAAGACAACGGTCCAGTGTAGCTTGTGTAACAAAGAACAGTGTACAGTGAAAAGGAAGGTATATTTTCATAGTGGTTATATAATTTCTGGCTCTTGTTTTGAAGAGGCTTTGGAGCTATGGTGTTTGCTCTTGGCCTAGGTGTTGGTTTCCACCACTGTAGCAAAGTCTGCAGCCTTTCAAGAGTACTATGAAAAAGAGGATCATTCTTGTTCTGGCTGCAGACAAGACTTCCCAGAAAGATCTGGGAAAGGCTCCTTTTCACAGAGACAAGATAATTCCAGTCACTTTATTGATGGGATGTGTCTGATCTGCAAGCCAGTGTGCTCAGGAGCTGGGGTACAGTCCTTTCCTTAATGAGCTGCAGCTTCTGCCTCCGTTTCGTGCCTCTGCTTGACAGCAGCTCGGGCTGCTGAGCTCTGCTTCCAAGGCTTTACACACAGTTAGGAAAGTTGGCCTGTGGCATTGGAAAGGAACAACCTGTGATTAACACATCTGTTGACAGATTTGCCTCTCTGGTGAAAAAAATGGTGATTTTCTGTCTGGAAGCGACAGCCACACCTTAGACTCCTGCTGACAGCACGGGGGGAACCAAAGAATGAAATGGTCACAGAAATGGTTCCTCTCTTGCCCTTCAGCTCTTTCCGAAAGAACTCCTTCAGCAGCTGTTGCTGCTGCCAACAGCACTCTTCCATGCTGTGGGTGAAGACCTGTGTTGCCAGACCTGGCTATTTTTGGTGGGGAAGGAGACTTAAACAGAAGGGGGGTTGGGTTTGTTGGGGGTTTTTTAATTTGCATGACAAAAGGGGTTTTCCTATCTGGCCCCGACTTCATGTCCCAAAAGATTGTCTTGCAGTGATGATACTGTTTTTAATTTAATGGGACCATGAGGTGGTGATTTCTGTTCTCTAAACAACACAATAATAATACTATTTACTGCAGGATTCATAATGGCTTTGGGAGAAATAAGAAGCCATGTAAAGGTTTCCATAATGTAATCAGACGTGTGATAAGGGCAAGGTAGATGAGACAGTTTTTAACACCATATTGCAAAACAGAACATTGCATAGTTCTCCTTCTTGAAAGTACCAGACAAGGAGTTCGGCCTTTTCCCACGACTGTCCTTGAGCATACACAGTGAGAACTAGTGCTGTGAAGTTGTATTTTCTTAAATTAGCCTTGACAGGAATGTGAATGATCTGATGATACATTCACTGTCTAAAATAATCAGCTGGTCCAGGGAACACTTTTTCCATTTATCAGTTGATTTTTTCCCCCCCCAAGTTCTTTGTTTCTGAAACAGTTAAGAGGCCTTTTCTTGAAAGTGTTTATCTGAAGGGAAAGGGAAATGTGACAAAGTCTGGTTGTTGTCAGTGAAAAAGCTTTCTCCATTTCAGGCTGTACAATGAAATAGTTATTCTCTTATAATTTAAAAGTTTCTATTTCAGTCTGCTCAGAGTGCATACCATGTGTTGATACTCTTTATTAGCAAGGCTGGGGAGGCAGTTTTCATGACTATCACCTTAAGAGTTGTTTCTAAAAATATATTTAAAATTCTGCTGCATGATATGTTTTATAATGCTTGCAGCTTCAGATTATGGCACTTTTTAGGACATAATAATTTTCACAGCTTTAGAGAACCATTGGGAGTTAAGTTTTCAGGTTGTACTTTCCTCTTTTTTTGCTGTTAAGGACCTCCAGTACATAAGGAAACTCCTTAAAGCCTTGCTAATCATCCTGCTTTGGACAGAATTTTTTCCCAAAGCAATTGTAATGATCATAGATTCACTGATGCAACTGTAATTTACATCTGAAGTAGATGGAAAGGCTCTTAATTGTACAAGTTTGTTATCTTACTGAAAAACAATGTCAACATTTCTAGTAGCAGGACTATTGTAGATACCATGGACTTTGCAACTTGATCCAAGGACAAATTTTCCTTAGACAAGAGTGAGAGTATAACTAAGAGCAAAGGTAGAAAATATAGTTGGGGTGTGAGCTCCGTATTAGTCAGCTGCTGTGTAACTCCTGTGTCTTTTTACTGGAGATCAAAGATGGTATCCTTTCCTAGTATCAGATCATTTGTGCACTGATGACTAATACTGGTAGTTTTGTGGCCATTTCACAGTGAGATGAAGGACATTTTCACATACTGGGTATTTCTTTTTTCAGATCAAATATGAAAAATTGGGAGTTCCTCACCAAGTCTGTATGTCCATGGTTTGATATTTATCACCCCCCAATTCTGAATGAAATCTCAAACCTTGAAAAATTGAAGTGGATATTTCCATACAGTTAAATACCAATGTCCTGCCCCCGCCCCCAAACAGTGGTTAGAGCAAGTTAGAGTATTAAAGCTTATATGGAAGAATTAGTGTTGAATAAGATAGGGTGTGAAATAAAAAATTATTAGTAAGTATCGTGCACTAAATGCTCTGCTTTGTGTGGAAGCTTATTCTTCACAGTACCTTTGTGGTTTGGAGTTTTTCTTGTTTGTTATTGCTTTTATAACCCGATCTGTGAAATGGCAATTGTAGGAAAAAAAAACAACCTTAGTATTTTTTTCATTTCAAATGAGGAAGTTCGAAAGTTCAGAACAACTATGACTAAGGTTCTGGTACTGTCACCTAACGTTGGTACGATGCTTTATTTGTAACTGTCCTATGGCCAACTGTGGCACCTCTCCTAATGTCACCCCTTCTTGCTCCCAGTACAGAGGTTTCTTCCTGTCTGAGGAAGCCACGCAGCTCAGTCACAGGCTTTGAAGCCGGTGTGCTCTCCCTCTTGCTCCAGTGTGTCCTCCATGTGCTGGTCTAGTTCTGTGATGGTCCCTTCTAAAGCCTTCCCAGTCCACGAGTATTCTAGTTCTATAAAGCTTTCTCTGAACCACATACATCAAACCCTGCTGACTTTTCCAAAAAAAAAAAAAAAGCGTTGTTCTTACCATATTATTGTTGTGGAGTTTATGCCTTTTCCCAACACAGAAATGCCTCCTCTTTATAAATGCGGTTGTGCCCTGAGAGCAGTAAGTGTTCCATTCTGCTCCTCTGGTGTTTCAGGCTCATCACCTCCCTGGTGCATGTCCTCCTGTAACTATTAGTGATGTTGGTTATTTCCTACTGTTTATCTCTGTAACGTTAAGTACAGCTGAAAAGCAAATTCTTGGTGTTAAAGCAGCTGAACCTTTTGAGAGATGAGAAGTGTTTGTCCTTCGATGTCTGACAGAAAAGATGCCAAAGATTCAGTAAGTCACCTATACTAACAGGACTTGTAAGCTTTAAAATGCTGTATGAAATGAGAACGTCAAGGGAGAGCTTTAAATTTACTGTTTTAACTCTGCAAAGCCCTCAGTTGGTCACTGCCCCTGCAGATCCTGATGCAAATCACATTTTTATCCATGAAAAAGCCTTTTCCTCTCTAAGCACAACAACCCAGTTGAGTACATGTGTACTCACCATACTTGACACAGCAGATCCTGGCAGGCTGGTTCCACGGTAATCGGATTCTCCCTGTGATGTTCCCTGTCTGAAGACATTATATTCCATTATAGAGGACACTTTTACCATCAGTGGATGCTGCCACGGTGATAAGAGCATGGTCCTGATAAGGCTTTAAGGTAGGGTGGCTGCTTACAGCTGGTGTCTTACATATGCAGGCGAGACTTACTGTAACCCTGCTTGAAATTTGATGTTATCAGCAGGAGTTGAATATTCATCTTTGGTAGTCCTGAGATCTGGGTCACAAACTTTTTGGTTAAAGACCATGCAATTGAAAAATGTACATTAGGAAAAATGCACTAACAGTAACCTCCTGCCTGGTATTTGTACAGCTCAGTAAGAGTTCACCAGTACCTCAGTCTACCTCTCATGTGTTATCTGTGCTTATTAGGGACATTATTCATCTGTAGACTGTATCCCTTGTTTCTGCTTCTCCATTTCTTGTATTTTTTTCTTTTCTTTTCTTCTTGTGTTTCCTTTCTTTCTCACTCTTATGCTTTTTGTCCTTTGCTTGTCTTTTATTTCACCCCTTTCCTCCTCTTCCGTTCCACTTCCAACTTCCTCTTCCTCTCCTGCCTCTTCCTCTTCCTCGTTTGGTCCTATTGAAGTTGAGCCCAATGCCGGGACACCACGTCGTAGACCTCTCTCCTTCTGCCCTTGCTGTGCCCATGAAGGTAACGTAACCTCACGCTCCCCGTCCTCCTTGACCACAGCTGGGTTGTCATAGCAGCACTAGTCAGATAGTGACCACAAGGCCCCCCAGCCCCGTCCCCAGCCCTTTTCTTGCTGTATCCTCCAAACCGACCTTCTCTGTAGCAACCCGATAACCAGCTTCTCTGAGCCTGTGGCAAGTTACTAAAGGTACAGTATCCCTTTTGCGAGTCCCAGCTGTGCTAGAGAAGGTGTAGCGACTGGGAGGGGCCCTGGGCAGCAGCCGTGGGGCCAATAATGTCACACTCAAAAGTTTCTGTTTTCATTTGCTGGCTTCAATTTCTCTATTCCTCCTGAAAGATGTTTGGAAGGTGGGGTAAGGGAAGAAAATCTGTTTCCTTAAATATGGCCCTTTAATTACCATGTAGGGATTAAAGGAATACTGTGTCTTTATAAGGACTGGTTCAAAAACATCCTTGAACTTTAAAAACCAACAGACCTTAAGTTAGACCAGTTTTCCCTCATCTGCCTTGCTGAGTGCATTCTTTAACTGTCCCAAAAGGAGTTTACTGTAGAGTTTCCATTGCCAAGGCATGGGGAAGGGGTTGTTTATGTGTGTTCATGGTGTAATTTTGCTAACCACTTATCTGCTTTCCATGGTGCTCCCTTCACATCAGTTGTCAGTGCTCCCTTTCCAATCCTCCCATTATTCCTCTGCTCATTGGCTGTTTAAAAATACTTACGTATTTCATAGGTCAGTAGCGTTGTGTTTTCGGCTTTTTCTTAGAGGCATTTGTTTTCTACACATCCTGGCATCAGAAAGGAAGGGGAGACTTCCCAGTGTTTTCATGGCGCCACAGCACTGGACATCTGCATGTACAGTCTCCCTCTCCTGTCGCCACGTGGGCATATTGTGCAGAGATGCTCAGAAAGGAATGCTTGGAACTGAGCAACACACTCGTATAAAGTCTTAAGGTGGTGCAACCGGGTCTGGTATCGCCCAAGGGGCTGCTATGACAAGTGAAAGGCAGGTATTCTCAGCCTAAGCCGAAGATTTCTAGGAGTTGTAGGCTCTCCCTTGTGTAGCTCCAGGGCAGCACTTCTGTGACACGCTGAGGATGAGGCAGGGCGTGGGTCTGAATTAACCAGCCATTAATGCGGTGTCGGTGAAGTGTCTCACGGAGTTTGCATAGTAAGATTGCTGCTTGACTATTTTAGCATCGAATGGACTGTTTGAGAGCTTTTGTTCTTGATGTAGAGAGTATGTATCCATAATAACAAATATAGGCAGGGATGTTAGTTATTTTGGGATGCCTTGGTTACATACAATGCAAGCTGATAGCATACAGCAAACTGCAAGTGCTGTTGAGCTTGATTTGAGGTCTTCTGCATCCACTTCTACCCAGGCAGGAGCATTGTTACTGTCCTTGACGGGGTCTGATCTGAGCCACAGAATTCATCTGCAGGCAGTTCAACGTGGAATAAGTGGCCCAGACCAAGAGCTTGTAAGCTCTTGTGTTTGATAAATATCAACAGAAGGCTTTGGGAACAGCGTTCTGCATTTATTCCACATGACTCCTGACAGATACAAGATTCATCAATGGATTATTGAGTAAGTTTAGCAGTTGGGTTTAAAATAAAAGAAATTCCAGCTAAGAATTCTGTATTAGGTGGCCAAGGCCCAAGGTATCTTTATTCTGCTTTGATGTTAGCAAATGTGTCTGGGGGTTCTTTTTCTTTCCAGTGCTGATGTGCAATACAGTAGACTTAGTTTCTGTGTTCACTGTGCAGTGGGGATCTTCAAGATAAATAGATACATGTGGCTAGGAGGAGGAGTCAGAAAAGATTTATTTAGCCATTTAAATAAAAAAAAAAAGGTGTTACTTTTGGCTAGTAAAAGAAAAGATTGAGGACATGCAATTGAAGAAAATAAAGGTCAAACACATGGAGCGGCAGTTGAATCCTTTTCTGATGAGCATACATTTAAGTAGCTGGCCTGAAGGTCTATAAAACTCTTCTGATGAAAGGAAAAATTAAATGCTTAGGGGTTTCTACAGTAAGAGTGAGGAAGAAACAAGCAATCGCAAGAAAATCAGGAAGGGAAAAAAAAAAATTAGGCTCCAAAGAGAAGAGAATCCTTTTGGAGGTGACTTCCACTCTACTGTGTGCTCTAGGCAAACTGAATGGACCCGGCTTGGGAGTGCTCTGGCAGCATCTTGCTCGGCTTTCTTTGCACATTTTGCCCCATCGTTGTTTTTTGCGGTTTGGGCTTGTCAGGATTGCAGGGCATCATCTGAAAACTTAACAGGTTTCTTTTTTGGCAGGCATGGGTAAGAAGGATGACCCCAAGCTGATGCAGGAGTGGTTCAAGCTAGTGCAGGAGAAGAATGCCTTGGTTCGCTACGAGTCCGAACTGATGATATTGTGAGTCAATGTGTTAAAAATGGGGATTGTGTCATAAATAGTATTGGAAGATCTGTCAGTACTGTGTTCCCTGTAGGGCCAGGAGGTCAGCAGCCTCTTAGGCTGATTTGTGGCTGAGATATGAGTCCAAGTACATTTCAGAAGAGAGGTAGAAGAAGGAGTAATAGCAGTAAGAAATAGAAGGTCCAATTATTTGTGCACATGCAGAAGTACAGATATGTGAGTCCTTCTCACGCTGTTCTTGTATAAAGCAAACATTGTTTATGCAGATGTTTTTGAGCTGTGCAGAAATAATGTGTGTCTCCTGGTTTTGGTAGAGTTTGCTTTTAAGCATAGCCAAAAGTGTTTAACTCAGTCACCCTTGCCATGTGGGCCTCCTCTCTACCTGCAGTGGGACCCCAGTGCTTCTCGTTTGGGCTCAGGTGATAAAGCATTTTTCCTGTTAATGAAATTGGGAATTTTCTCTGTTACCATGATGCACATTTACTGAAATTAGTTTCTGAGTATGTCAGCTCACCCTGGCAGTGTGGAGCTGATGGCTTTAGTGCCTGTAGCAGAAAAGCCCCAACATGTCTGCATTGCAATCTGCAGGTGGCCTGACATGTCCTTAGTTACTTATTAACTTTGTCTTTAGAGTGGAAAGTAGCAGGAGATACACAGAGGTATTGCAGATTTGTTTGTTCTTTCATTCTGTTTTAGATTTAATCCCACCCACAACCCGTAAAACTTTTGGTGTTGCACATCCTACCTGAAGGCAAAGAACCTGAAATGCTGAAAGTACCATTAAATCTTTTAAAAATACACATACAACTCTTAAAACACTGAAGATATATTCTGAAACAGATTGGTAAAATGCACAGCAGATATCTAGAGAGTGAGCAGAAACTGAGAGTGGGTGTGAAGCAATGTATGCAGTATTTTAACATACCCAGAATTTGGATTTCTGATGTTTCCCTTTCAGTGCTCGGGAGCTAGAACTGGAAGACAGGCAGAGTCGATTACAGCAGGAACTCCGGGAGAGGATGGCAGTAGAAGGTGAGAGCAAAAGGGAATATTTCATGGATTGTGTGTGTGTATTTCTAGCCTTTTGTATGCTGATAGTTTTGGATGTCTCTGTAGATCATCTGAAGACAGACGAGGAGCTCTCGGAGGAGAAGAGGATCCTGAACGAGATGCTAGAAGTAGTGGAGCAGAGAGATTCTCTTGTGGCTCTCCTTGAGGAGCAACGGCTTCGAGAAAAAGAAGAAGACAAGGACCTGGAGGCAGTCATGCTTTCCAAAGGTTTTAGCTTGAACTGGTCCTGAGCTTAACACATTTACCTCTGCTGGTCTGTGTTGTCCAGTTGGCCTACCCTGAGTTTGCCAGAATTACACGGATAGGAAGATGTTGAAGGGGAAATCTCCGAAGGGTCCGACAGCATGCAGGAATTTGGTTTGAACCACGCAGGAGCCTTTTGATAAGTGTGTTGGTTCCAGAAGCTTAAGTTTTACATGTCTGCAAGCCAAGTTGAAGAGATGAGTTGAGACTGTGGAGTCTCCTTTAGGTCCTATACAAATGGACCATATTTTTGTGTGTGTGGTAGGAGGGAGGGGAATAATCCATGTGTGGGGAAGGAGGTTAAGGGAAGAAGTGCCCTTAACTAAGCTGGATTTATGGCAGTCCATTCCTTCCCCATTTTTACTACACCAGTTCTTATAAAAGGGAGGGAAGTGGCAACCCTTCCTGGAAAACCACAGCAACCTGTAGCAGTGGAGTCAGCTGTCTGAGAGAGCTCCAGAAGCCCAGGGCAACACCTTCTTTGCTTTAGTCTTCCTCCCCACCAAAGAAACCTGCAGTTGATGATTATGCATGGATATGAAGAAATACGAGACAGAGAAGATACTGCTAGTATGTGTGACAGAACTTTCTGCCTCCTGGTTTTTAGAGAGAAGTGGGCATCAGTAGACTCTCTCCCTGTCATAGCCTCCTAAATCTTCTTGTGGGGAACAAGGGGAGAAGAAGAGAGAGGGAAGATGCCCATCTGCTTTGCTACACACTGGAGAGACAGCTACTGCTGGCCTTAGTCTTCATGGCCACAGCTCAGAGGCTGGTGGGCTTCCTTGTTCTGTTTTCGTTGTGACTGTTTTGACACTGGAAAATACTGCTGTGGGACAGTGGTAAGTGCGTGCTGGGGCAGGGGTGTTCCCAGGCAGCATTCCCTGGCTGTTAGGCCCCTGAAAGGGAGAAGCCCTTAAGTGACCGAACCACCATTAAGACTTTTCAGTGTTTTTATTTTTTTTTCCTCTGTATTTTGTTTTTGCACATTGAAAACGAAGCTTAAGACCTGCCTGGGCCCTCAGTCACTTTGACCCTTTTATGTCAATTAACTTATTTTTTTAATACTTGAAAGAAGATTCATTTTTGTATCTTTTAGGAAACAAATGGACGAGTGATGAGTGTGTGTGCCTGCTGCATCCTACAACTTCCACTTCTAAATTACTGGACGTTGTTACCTGTGGCTATTTATTAGTGTTCTTATTAATAATTTGATTGTTACACTTATTTGATTGTGGAGGGAGTGTTTTAACTCTGTTAGAGAAAGACACTACTGCGGATTGGTCCCTGCTTCACAGCAAGGGCAGCCTTTATGTACCCATGGATGCATCCTGCCCTAGGAGTTTTCCTCTATGAAAAAACCCTGCGCACTCATGGAGTTTAAGAATCTATTTGTGTTCTTAGCGTCCTTTTCTTCTGCATCCCAGATTCCCTCTTTTGGACTAATAAACCTATATTTATTTAAATTTTACATTTTTATAACAGGAAAGCCAAAACGGTGAGGTAGAAATATCCCACGTCTCTTTCTCACTGAAAGAGGGGACCCTCACGCTCCTGAGATACAGCTAGAGGGACTTCCATGAAAACAAAAATAGCACATTTCTTGCTGCATCTGTTGGAAGAAACTCCTCTTGGCTCAGCTAGTGAAGCTTTTCAGCCGGGAAGGTGCTGACCGTGATCACACACTAACAATGAGCAGGATATGCACTGAGCAATTCAGCACCATTCACTGTCTGACACTTTCCCTGGGCACCCCATGTCCTTACCTTGTCCTGCAGAGCTGAAACAGCACCATGTGCTGGAGAGGTGTCCTGTCCTTCATGCGATGCATTAAGAGGTTTTCCCACCTTGGGATGCTGACTGTGTTCTTTTCTTGTTAAAGGAGTACTAAGCCTGCTTCCCAATGTCTTTGAGAAAGTGTCCCACTCCCGAGTACATTCATACAGAGCACTGACTCTTTCAGCTTGAACTTACACTGCTGGTGCAAGGCACCCAAGCAGGGCTGAACATCCTTTAGTCTTTTGCCCTGGGACAGAGGTTAGCGTGGTTTCTTGCTGTTGGCTCTCTCCTTCCTTCAGAGAGGTGTCCTGTAAGGCAAGGTCTATGATTTGAATTCCCCTCTGACCTGGGAGCATACCTCAGGCTGAGGGAGAATGGGTTGGGGTGTCCCCAGAGACTCTGAGTGGTGCTGGTTGCTAACTGTGGAAACATGTTTTTTCCACTTGAAGTGTCCCTCCTTTATTCCCCCTAGTGTTTTCTGCTGAGGCATTACAAGTTAAATCCAGATGCTCGTGAAACCAAGCAGACAGGCAGATGCAGTGCTACTTCATAATTGTGTATGTTAGCAAGTGCTACCTGCTATCCCAGCATCCTGGAGTGTTGGCTTACCGACAGGATGTCCAACAGACAGAATTCCCCCCATTTGCCGGTGCAGATGCCAGCTGCCCAAGTCAAACTGGCAGTGGAAGTTTACATAATCTGCATTTTAGGGGCCACTGGAAGCTGGAGCGGAGAAGGAGGGAAGAAAGAGGGAAGCCAGATATAAAGTTTATTGTGAACTGTCTTGTGCAGAGAATTGACCTCAGTACATTTTATGTGCACTGGGTATATGGACCACACCTAACCCGTAACGAAAAGTCATTGAATGTGAGCTGCAGAACAGAACAAAGTCCTGAAGGAGAAATACCAGATCACTCCTTTTCCCTTTCATGCTGGGGGACATGGGCCAGATCTTTGCAGTGCTGAAGAGTGATATCACTTGAGGGCATAATCTCTTACTGCACCAGAAAACCACATAATCTAAGCCTAAACTCGTTAGGTTATGCTGAAGGCCTCCAGCACTGAGAATGAAAACGAAGAGCTAACATCGCACACGCAAATTAATTAAAAATACATGAAAGGGAATGTTAAAAGGCCTTTTTATATCAAAATGGTTGTAAAAGGCACAACTCGTATTTGCTGTTCAGTTGCACTTTAAGAATACGACTTGCATATCAGATACTGGGTTTTTTTACTATCTGAATATTTTTAATTCAAATTTTATATTTTTAAAGCTGAAGAAGGCTCTCTTGTGGCCACAAGATTCCTTATTTGTATCAGAATCCAAGTAGGATGTTCTAGCTCTTTGTGCTGCCCGGGTGGGCAGCAGCACGTGACTCGGCCATGTGCATTCGATGACGTGTGTCCATTTCACGTGTGAGGAGAGCGAAAAGGCCCTCAGCTTCCGAGGAGTGGGCACTCCAGGGTGTCTGTCCCAGGTGACACGGTCTGTACCAGGGGCTGGCTGCTTCATCCCTGCAGGAGCTAGGGAGAGAGCCGAGCTTGGAACCCAAGCTGTGTTCGTTTTGAAATGGGCACACTGAGGATGGGGCAAGCACTTCAGTCCCCTACGGGGAAGGGAGGGGGATACCGACCTCCTGGAAACACCCAGGAGGCAAGTGGGACTGGGGGAGTGAGGACTACCAAAACAACTAATATGCTGTTTTCACAGTACATTTTTATTTTAACTATTCTGTTCTTTTAACCATATTCTCATGAAAACTCACAAATGGCTGTAAAATCCTGAGCTTCAGAGAACTAATGTGTGGGGAGGTGACGAGACATTTCAGCTCCAACTTTCAGACATACTCCCCCTTTCAGTTAACCAATACCCCATGGTCTCACTAGGGCATGTTACAAACTGCGTTGCTGAACAACATATTTTAGAGCAAACCGCAAGTTTTAAAAGTCTGTCCTTCGCTCTCTCCGTCTCTGCATTTTATGTAAATATTTGTTTGTATGTAAAGACACCAAGTGGATCCCTGGGTTACCCCCACGGTCAAGAATCTGAGTTTTGTGCAATGCCTAGGCCTTCTCTTAGAACACGGTGCTTGCATAGAGCTAGTCACCACATTTGTGTGCACTCTGGTGGTTTTTAATATTTTTATACATCCTAATCCTGAACGTTATGAAGTATTATAAGTGGTCTAGACTGCATGATCTAGAGCAGCTGGCAGTTCCGTTTTGTGAGCAGCTGTTCCTAAAATGTTCACAGCTACACCTTGTTTGGTTAACATTCTTTTAAGATGAGTTTTCAGTTTAAGTGTTTACACCGGACACCAGTGGACGAGAAAGGTGTTGCATTATAAAATCTGTGTACAAACTGAAAAGCCACGATATGGCTTTATGGGAATTTCAGTCATCACCGTCTGCAAGAAAGAGAACTCTAAAGCATACTAAAAACCAGCCTGTATATAGTTCACAGAGAAAGAGATCGCTGGCTCTCAACTGTTGTAAAGTATTAGAAGCTTTCCAAAAGTTCCTGCTTTTGGAGTGCTCAGAGTACCGCTATAGGCAGGGTAGCAGGCAGATGAGGGTGTCACTGAAAGCAGATGTGAAGGGGAGGATGCCATGTTCTGATGGCATTGCAGTAACTTAAATACTCTGTATCTGTGCGTGCGCGCGTGTGTGTGTGAAGTCTAATCCAGGTGAAGGGATCTGCTTTGGCATCTTCCCTTTTGTATGAAAGTGAACTCTGATATTCAGATTGTTCGAGGCTCTTACGGTTGGCATGTATGGAGTGTTAAGAGGAAAAGCGTATACCCTACCTGTACAAAACCAACTCTGTTCCAGCCTGTTTTCTTCTGTTGGGTTGTGTTTTATTGTTTGTTTTTATGCACACTTGCTTCGTTGGTGTTGAGATTTTAGCACCTCAGATGGCCAACTGAACTAAAAAAAAAGAACAAAAAAATAAAATCATTAATTATTTTTTCTTTTTTGTTGGTGGAGTTACCGTTTGTTTCCCTTGCATTCACTCCCGTGATTGATGATTGAGGAGCAAGCTGGGAGCTGAGGGAAGGTGATCTAGAGATAAAAACTTAGGTGTTAAAGGGCCTGGCCTCGATTTCTCTTTTGCTGGAACAATCTGAGTCACTCTGAATTATCTGATGGAAACAAATCAATCTTGATAAAGCCCAAATACGAGGTCTTCCCTTCTCTATATTTTACATTGTTTTTTGGATTTCTTGTGAAGAGAAGTTATGGTAAATAGCCAAGAAGGGATGAAGGTAATATAAACTGAATTGTAGGATTTAATTTCTGTAACTGTAGCTCACTTTCTCAGCCTGCAGAATCAGCCTGAACATCTGACACTGGTGTAAAACAAGGAGAGAATTACACAAATGCCTCTGTGCTGACTTTGTGTTGCTTTAAGTCTCCACCATTCTGTGCTCGTGTCTCATCTGTGCTGTGCCAGCTCTGCCATATGAGCTAAGCAAGGTGCAGCTCCAGAGCTGTGCCCCTTGAACAGACTGGAAGGATTCAGGATTTCAGCCTCACCAGCTCAAGAGTCAAGAAAAGGCATCTGGGTATCTCCTGTTTGAAAAGGGTGGGTGTTCGGCCTCAGCGGTCGGTGCTGGGTCCAATAAACATCAGGAGCTTGAAGCCTGGCATAGTGACATCCAGTCAGCAGCACTACTGTCAGTAAGGAGACTTGAGAGAAAAAACTTTGTACCTTTTTTTTTTTTTTTAAAGAAATTTCACACAGGATGCTGTGGGGAAATCCCAGCCAGGGAAATCCCAAACAATGAGTTTTATTTTCCTGCCCACTCAACCACTCTCAAAACAAAGGATAAACCCTGCTGTTCCTAAGGTGGTGTGATTAAAGCAGACCTATTAGGGCAGCAGGAGGCGTGATGGGCTTGGGATTTCCCCTTGCCTGGAGGCTGGGCCAACAGGCTGTGCTGCAGGTGCACAGCTCGCTCGTTCATTTGTGCAGCTCAGTAGGGTGGCAGCTCTTTGAGGACCTTTCAAACCCCACAGTTCTTCCTGTCCTTTTGGTCTCTTGCTTTCAAATAGTGGGAGAAAAAATGGTAGTGGGAGAAAGCTGTGATTACCAGGGAGGGCGAGGGTAATTTGAACCCTCTGGTGTCAAAAGGCCAGTCCACAAGGAATTCCCCCTTGATGCTAAAAGAAAAATAAGTGTATGGACTCTTGGACACAGGAGGTCAGCTCCCATCCATAGCTTAGGAGACCAGTGTTGTGACCATCATGGCTATTTAATTACACTGTAAGGCTGTTAGTCCCCAGTCTCAATTAGAGACCCAGAGGTTCTACTATTTTATAAACTATGAACAGAGCAACTGGACTTCTAGGGACGACTTCCTCTATTGCTTGCTTGGGCAAAGATCTATGCCAGCCCTCCGAGATGAGCAGGGTCGCACGTCCTGCACGGATCAGCCACGTGTGTCTAAGAAATAACACCAGGAAAAGGCCCTCTAACAAATAAACCCCGCCCCAGGAGCCCAGCATGGTGGCAGCTGCTGCTTTCTGTTTTCATTCATAATGAAAGTAGCCTTCAGGAGCCTCTGACCTTTTCCACAGGTGGTGTCCATGCCCTCGAAGCTGCCTCACCCACCTGACGTCATTCCCCAGCTCTCTGGGAGGAGGTAAGGAACAGCAGGGAAGTTACCGAGGTGGGAGGGAGAACACGCTTTCACGTGAGGGGCACAGGAAGGATGTCAGTGGGCTCATTGAGTAATGTGCAGAGCCCCTTTCTGGCAGCAGCAGATATATATTATCTTATACAGCCCTCCTGCCTATACTCGGCCTGGATAAGGACAACGAAGGTAACTTGTCAGGAAAAATAACTAAGAGGAAGTCATACCTAAAAAAACTCTGCCGCTCTGGCTTCCCTCATATTTTACATTTTTGAAAATTGCTCACCATGAGTGCTGTGACAGCAATTAGCAATTGCAGCTGCCTACATTAGCAATTGCAGCTGCCTACATTAGCAGTTGCATTTTTAAGAGAATGCAAACCTAATCCTGTAAGGATGCTACTTGGCCAGACGTCTCTAAGAATTCAAGCAGAGCCAGAGTGTATCTTCCTCCTTTAAATCCTAAGCATCATCAGCAACAGAGCAATTACCAAGGAAAAGGATCCTACAGGTGGTAAGGGATGAAAGTAACAGTGCTGGCTTGTGGCTGCATCTCTTCTGGCACCATCCTCCTGGAGAGGCAGAGGGAGAGGGCCTCCTGCTTCATTTTATAGGTATTAGACTTGCCTCCTCCCTTAGCCTGCATCCTTTTACACAGCACTTAAAATAAGGAAAGAAAAAAAAAAACCCTGTCCTAACCAAGCTTCAGAAAAGTAACGTTTTCCCTTGGCACCTTGGGAACACTGTAAATGCCTGTGGATAGCAGGAAAGTGGATAAACTAGTATTTCCAAACCTGCTGAGTGTGTGGTAATTTTCTGCATGTCTCAGACACAGAAATCACGTGGGTTTCTGTAAGCAAAAGATAACATCTCTTGTTTATTATTAACATTTCCTATACAAATATATAATCTGTATTACTCAGATACCAGAATCCAAAAATATAAAACCCACTTATCTCAAGAGAAAAACTATACTTTGGGCATAAGGGAGAGAGTGTGTCTTGCCTACTTGGGGCTCGCAGTGCTGACTTTCCGAGACCAAGCCGAAAAGTTTGAAGAAACAGAAACTTTTCTTCAGTTCCTTGGAACTTAGAAGAGTCAGCAGATGTCACTTTTTTCCCCCCCCTACATCATTCCCAGCGGGAAACCACCTGATGGGTTGACCAATATGACTCAAACCAGAATCAGAGTCAGCTTGGTCCGTTTCACGGAGTCCCAGGAACTTTAAAAAGCGCTCTGTGATCAGCCCCTCCCTGGGCAAACACCCGTGGAGTGGCCTGCGGGGTGATCCCAAGGCTGAGCACGGCCGTGACTGCGCGTGTTGGGAAGAAAAGCGTGACGGAGGAAACCTGCACTGAATACCAGGTAAGCATTGCTTTAAACGGAACTGTGTTAAAGTGTAAGGCTGTATTAAATACAAATTAGTTTAAGTAGTACTATATTAGTTAAATAGGACTATATTACTACACCTGGAAGGAGGTTGCAGCCAGATGGGGGTTGGCCTCTTCTCCCAAGCAAGCAGTGACTGAATGAGAGCACATAGACTTTAGATGCACCAGGGGAGGTTTAGGTTGGACACGAGGAAAAGTTTTTTACACAGAAAGGGTGATTAGACATTGGAATGGGCTGCCCAGGGAGGTGGGGGAGCCACCGTCCCTGGAGGTGTTTAGGAAAGGCTGGATGTGGCACTCAGTGCCATGGTCTGGTTGACACGGTGGTGTTCGGTCATGGGTTGGACTTGGTGGCCTCAGAAGTCTTTTCCAGCCTGATCGATTCTGTGATGTTAAGCCCATGAAACGACATCAAACGAAAATTTAAATTCATTTGTCAGGGAGGGGAGTGGCTACAGATGGGGCATAGACGAGGAGACTTCGGCCAAGCAGCAGCACGAGGTGGGGACCCATCAGAACTCCGCAGCTGTGCTGCCCCCCGCCCCAGCGGATCCCTGTGCGGGCTGGGGGCTGTGTCGGGGCCGGGGATCCCCGCCCGGGCGGACCGCGGGCTCCGGGGGCGGTCCCGGAGCGCTCCCGGCGCGGAGCCCTCACGGCCCGGGCGCGCGCGGCCGTTGGCGGGGCCCGCGGGGCGGGGCCGGAGCGGAGCCTCTCAAATACCGGGAGAGGAGGCGCCGCCGCCGCCGAGCGCTCCTGCCCCGCTCCCGGTGAGTACGGCCCGCGCCTGCCCGCGGCGGGGATACCTGCGTGCGGCGGGGTGAGCATCGGCCACCGCCTGGTTCCCTCCCCCCGAGAGGTCGGTGCGGCCGCGCCCGGGAAGGGCCGCCAGCCGTGTCGGGTCGGGGGCCGGGCCCGCCGCCGCCCGGGCCGCGGGGCATCAGCGCCGGGGCGGGCGCTCCCCGCTGCTCCTCGCAGCCCCCCGGCCTGCGGGGCGAAGGGACCCCGTGCGCGCCTTCTGCTTTCCCTTGCGGATGCTGGAAACTCCTCTGCCCCCCGTTCCCCCTGAACTCCTCTGCCGTTCTCCCTTTTCCTTCTTGCCCGCCGAGTCTGGCCTGGCGCTTATCGGCGCGGTTTTTTCTCCCTTTGCCGTGTTTCCCGCTCGGTCTCCGATGGCCGTGTCGCTGTCCCGCCCGTCCCTCCGCCCGTACTGGGAGCGACCCTCGGCTCTGCTGTCGCCTCCGGCCCCTCTGTGCTTCTCCCGCCGGGATCGAGCCGCTCTCTGCACCCCCGTCCCCGCTTCTGCCCTCCCTCCCGCTCGGGGGCTAGCTCGTAAACCATAAAAGCTCCCTCTTGCCTTTGGACTACGTGGTAAAGTCCAACACGTCGCCCTCGGTCCCCGGTGAGAGTTTTCGCACTGGAGGGGCTTTTGCTGGGCAGGGAAGAGGAAGGAGTTAATCCTGTAGCGGCAACTCCAGAGGGACCCGCGCTTGCCTCAGCCTTCCAGCAAGAGGGATGTGGGAGTGGCAGCTACAGCGAGAAAGCGAGGCAAGAAAGGATTTCTAATAATAGCGTTAAAACTTGCAGGAAAAGCTGGTAGTTAATACGGGTGAGTCAGTTCGGTGTGTGCTTTTCTCCGCTCTCGGTGCCTTCCCCGGGGCTGTAGGTGTCTGGCCGCCTGTCGAGGTGGTGAGCGCCTTCGGCTGTCCCTTTGTTTCCTGTGAGGAGCGCTCGCGTTCCCGTGACCCAACCACACGTTCGATCCAGGGTGACGGAAGGCTGGAGCTGGAGGCTGGGCGGTGTGCGAAGTGGGAAGCAACAGAGTGAGCGGCACCCCTTCCTTAGGAGGGTGTTTCTGTAGTGCACGTGGTCTGGTGATGGTCTGTAACTTGGGGTGACAGTGGCTCTCAAACTGATGGGTTTGGGGGGCTTCTTGTCTTTTTTTTTAAAG